CCGCCCCTCCGGCAGGGATCTGTCCAATTGTCGGAATGTTTTTATCTTCGTTATTTCTGCTGTACTGTATTTTTTCCTCTGTACATCAACAAAATGCCAGTGGGTACAAGAGGCAAAAGAGCCAGCTGAAATCGACAGGTAGTGGAACTAGGAACCGATTCCTGGTTCTAGCGGTCTAAGGAAAATTATACCGTAGGTGATCAATTGAATTGTGGTCGTTGTAACGCCCTATAAAGAGCCGGCGTAGCACATTTACAGCTACTCCTCAAGCTAACCATAAGGTGACACCAGTAGGTTAGCACCTCTGAAAGGCGCACCACATGCGTAGGAAAAGAGATTCTCGACGGCTGTCGGCTAAAAAGGCTGTCTTCAAATGAGAAGCAACCGTTTACTGCTTACTCGACTAGGGTATGTACACGCTACCTTCCCCTGAGCTGGTCCAGGATTTACTGGCGAGCACTCCCTCATACCCGTCGTTTCCCTTTGCGATAACCAGTTTGAACTTCCATTTGCTAATTGACCGGCGGCGCTTCGCGCACACCTACTCGGGTGAACTAATGGAGGCCTCAACTCGCCCAATGAATCTCGTGTTTTCCCTACCGGAGGTGGTCAACTCGGTGCGTCGCAGTTATCCTCCTCTTCAGGTAGGTAACCTAAATTGAGACGCCGTTCATTCGCTCGGAGCAAGCTTAGGACTAAGCCTAGGCCCAATCATAGGCTTAAGCATAAGCCAATGTGTAAGCATAAGCCTTAACCTAAGTCTAAACCCAAGCTTAACCTTAGGCTTCAATGATCGCGCAGCTCTGGTGACCTGACCCAGGAGGAGAACTGAACGTCTTCCCTCCAAGCAATGACCACTATGAGTCTAGTACTCGAAAAATTGCTGTAGACAGGACAGGACTGAGAAGACCATGACGATGACGGCACAATTCTCTACACTTCGTTCATTTCAGGCTTCTCAGAGTTATCACTCCTCATATTGCTTCAGAGAGCTGGGTTTGTTTTCTTCATAGAAGCTACACAGACCACACACAAAGGTGAATGCCGGCAAAGTTGCGTCGTACATTGCGCTGTTTTGCAGGCCCGCATTAGCACGGCATGAATTGAAAATTAACGCATAGTAAAGAAACTTCTGTAGAAAATGCTTATAGTT